CTTGGACAGCAAGCGCCTACAAAGTACCTATGAAGTTATTTGGTGATTCAACACAGAAACTGGCCTAACTGATCCATATCTCAAATAACCATGAAGTGAATGACTAATTTTATCTGAGGGATTATTGTCCAGAACACCGGAGAAACTCTTCTTTCTATTCTCGAGCAGTGCCATGGGATCTTTATCATCCACCTGAGCAGGCAGATGGGACCTTGGTGTAATATTATAATAATAACGTTAATAATCCTTGCACTCGGAAAAGCGCCTTAGCCTTGTTGCAAGAACGTCTCAAAGTGCTTCACAGGACTTACTGTGAAATTGAGTGACTGTGTATTTGTAGCCAAACGCAGCAGCATGATTGTGCACACCAATATCCCAAAGAGAGCGAAAGGGGTGGTGGAAGAGAGGGAAGGAGAGAAGCAGAGAAAGGGGGGAAAGAGAGAGAGAAGGATGGGGAATTTGAAGGATGACAATTCTGACAATGCAGTGCACCCCTAGAGTGGCATTAGAGTGGCAATTTGTAGGGTTAGTAATATATTAGAACAGAACCTCTGTTATCCCCCCCCCCCCACCCCACTCCCCATTGCTTTTTGGCAAGGTCTTCGTTAAACATCTCTGTTCAGCTTCAGTTTTATCTGCATGGGTGCTGAAAAAGAAATTGAATGGGGGAGGAGAGGGGAAGGAAGGATTTTCATAACTATTCGGGATAATTTCCATTTGCAAAATGACAGGAATGGAATTGGTTTTCCTCAAAACAGTCTTGTATGTTACCATTTGAGTAAAGCAGTCACGGACACAGTAATGAATTGCAGAATCATATTGAGCAGCCTGCAATGAATGAAAATATCGTTTTTTTTAAAAAGCAGCTGCTGTGCAACATTGACTCTCATGGTACAAGTGCTCCTGTTTGACTGATAAACTGCACCATAAACTCTTATCTTGTGTGAAATGCCAGCATTTGACAGAACCTGTATGTAATGAATGTGTCTGAAAATATATTTATGTTTTTAAAGAGTCTTTTGCTGATTGAGGATTTTTTTTTGCTTTGTTTATTGTCCATGTTCTGGACCCTCTTTCACCTAAAATGAACATTGGGGTGTGTGTCGGGGGGAGGAGAAGAGGCAGATTCTAGTGCTGTAAATCAAAGGAAATACACCAATGGAGTTCGTCTTAAAGGAGGAAACCGAGCACACAGTCATTTTTATATAATTAGATTCTTTTTATAGTGCAGCATTTGGCTGGAAGGCAAGCTTAAAGGGTATTGTGGTTTGATAGTGAATGCTGGGGTCACACTGTGAGATGGAGTAAGGTATAATTAGCTTTTAATGTTCGTTTAGTACATTTTCAAGTGGTACATCTGTTGTCTGTGTGAAAACCAACTGGGTTTCTGGATGGCTCTGAGCAGGAATGTTTTGGGGGAGGGTAGCATTGGAAGAAGGAAAAGAAGTGTGTGCAAGGATATTAAAACATACGCATTATTTAAGTGGTCATTATCATCATTTTGTAACACTGTACCGTTAAGTATTCAAATAGTAGAAGCTGGGACCTTTTATCTACGTTAAACTGAGGTGGATGTTAAAGATCCCATGACACAATTCAAACAGAGAAGGAAGTTTCTCTCATTGTCCTTGCTAACAATCCCCCCAAATAAAATTGATCACTCACTCCATGGCTGTTTGAGGGACATGGCTCTGTACAAATTGTTCTCCTTGAATAACACAGTCCCTGCACTTTGAGATGTTTTGATCACATCATAAAGCTCTATCATATGCAAGGGTTATCATATCATATTGATATCAATAATATCATTGTGTGGGAATGGAAATTCCTCCCTACCTGAAAATAGGCAGATTGTACAAAATAGTACATGTTTGAGGAAAAAAATAAAACATTTGGGAGGATGATCTTGAGGTGGAAGGGTGAAGGAGGTAAATTGAGTAAGGAAATTTTCGCTAAGATAGCATAGCTGCACTTGAAATGTTGACCTCTGCTCTTTACGTCCTTTTACGTCCTCCTGACGTGAAAGGCGCTCTATAAATGGAAATAAATGGAATCTTGTTACCCTGGGCTTCTGAAAGAAGTTGAAAAAAATTGTGTTTTATAGTACCTTCCCTCAGTGTATCATACCCACTCTCTGCCTTCAAAATCCACCTAAAGACCATGCATTTGACTTCGTTTTCTATCCCCCTTCCCCACAGCTAGGTTGTGTGAAGCACTGTGAGTGGTGTCCTCCTGATAGGAAAGACGCTATAAAAATGTAAGATTCTGTTATCAGTGCATCAAAGTTTCAAAAGTGCTTCAGAAGAATTGCCGTTAAGTGCAGAAACTGCATTTTTGCAGACAAAACTCAGAGCCCTTATTACTCACAGCAACTTCCCATAAATGGCCCTGAAGCAATTCTCTCAGTTGCAGAACAAAAAGCCGGAAGGTTGATGACAGCGATCAGTGATTTGAGTTCACGAACTGTGCATTGTAACTTCAGATGATTTCTCTGAAAGCATCCCAAGCGGATGACTGGAGAGAGATGTTTATGTTTGGGGCATGTCACTGACTTTCATGTCCATGAGCACAGATTTTCCCTGTAAGGCAATGTGGTTTCAGTGAACTGTCAACCTTCATTATGAGTTTTATACTGAGGGTTTCCAATTGTGGTACGGGAAGGTTTTGAGTTGCAGATGATGTGGTGCAACCTTTTGCCCCATGCGTATTCAAAGGTGAGCCATCTACCTCTCCTCTTATTGGAAAGATAATTAAATTGATCAGTTGGCCCTCTTAGCCCATCCTGCTGTTTTTGTCCCACTGCATTAGCCATGCAAAGATTATGTTGATTGCAGTTGAAGTGAGATAAATGAGCTGCACTGGTGCCTCCAGAGGTATCGCTGGATAGTGTTCCAGCCAAGCACAATGGCTGAGTTCTGTGGTTTCACATCGATGACCCTGTTAGGCATTTCTCCAGATAGTCCAGAGGAGTCCTGTAGCTTAGTGGTTAGAGCACTCGCCTCGCAAGTGAGAGAGCTGGGTTCAATTCCCGGCTGGGCAAAACCTTAGGTAAGTTTCCTTACTCACATGCCTGATAATAATCCCTAAAGAAAAAAATTTAAAAATTAAAATAAAATAATGAATTGGTCACTTCAATCCATGACTGTTTGTGGGACACTGCTGTGCGCAATTGGCTGCTGCATTTGAACAACAACAACATTTGTATAGCGCTTTTCACGTCCCAAGGTTCTGGACAGTCAATGTTACGAACGGACCTGAGCTGGGGGTTGGATTGGGGAGGGCAGGGGAGGAGGGAGCATGATCGAAAGCACAGTCGATGAGGAGGTTCTTGAGATGGGTCTTGAAGGAGGCAAGGGAGGAGGCGAGGCAGAGGGACGAGGGAATGGAGTTCCAGAGGATGGGGGCAGAGTGACAAAAGACTCGCCTACCAATTTGGGGCGGGCGAGGCGAGGGGACATGAAACAGGCCGGAGCCCGGCGAGCGGAGGGAGTGAATAGTGCGTAACAGCCAATAGTGCACAGCAGTGTCCCATAAACAGTCATGGATTGAGTGACCAAATTTATTATTTTTTAAAAATATATATATATTTTAAGCGATTATTACTCCCAGGAAAGCGATCCGCCAATCGACTAACTACCAGGTTCCTACTTACTACTAGGTAAACAGAAGCATATGGAGTAAGGAGCCTTGCCTAACGTTTTGCCCGCCTGGGAATTGAACCCAATATGCTACACAGTACTATGCCGATATAGTGCCGATAACTTTGGATGCCTCAAAACACTTCAGTTATTCTGTAAAGTGCAGCGACTGTGTATTTATAGGCAATCTCGCTCAGCCAGTTTGTCCACAGCAATGTTCAATGAGCAGTCATGAACTGAATGACCAATTTTATCTGGAAGATCGTTGGCCAGTACACTGGCAGAAATTCCCCTCATTTTCAATAATGCCATGAGATCTTTTATGTTCACCTGAACAGGCAGACTGGACATCAGCTTTATGTCTGATCCAAAAGATGGCCCCTCTGACAATACAGCACTCCCCCAAGCACTCCATTGGAGTGTCAGCCAAGTGCTGATGTGGAGCCTGAACCCGCAACCTTCTGACCTAAATCAGATGTGAGAGAGCGAACAAGTGAAACCGTCTACCTTTTACAATTTGACTGAGAAAAACTCTGAGCACCAGACCAATTGATGTTTTGCATAAACAAGGAGACCTTTGGAATACACATTAACAAAAGTATATCCTTTTCTTGTGGAAAATCTACTTTTTATTTTAACCGATAGGATTTGAGAGTTCTATTTGAGTTAAATTGGTGCCATATCTACCTTGAAATTCAGACTCTTTTGAAGCGTTCATTATTTGCAAATAATATTTGAAGGACAGTGTTCCAATGAGTGATTGGTAACCTTTTTCAGCACTTGAGATATTTAAGAAATAGGAATTGGCTTGCTTTTATTTCACACCTGTGCCTGAGCTTTTTCTGTAACTGGAAGGCCATTTTTAAATCCAGTGGATGCTTTCCCATCTGTTAAGATTGCCTTCTTAACAATCATCTTGTTCGGCATGTCTTTCTGCCACTGTGCAGCGCTCTTGACACTCTCCTGCGTGTATAAATGCAAGTTGTTGTGAATTCTTGGCCATTGTCGCTTGGAACAGTTATTCTATGGAGGAGGCATTGGTGTGATGCAAAAAGATGCTTCAATCAATTTTGTGTCATGCCAGGAAGTAATTTCATTTTATCTTCATTTATAATTTTTTAAAAAACTCACAAACCAGCAGCCACGCTCAGCACAAAGGTTGACCAGGGTTTAAAACTTGCACCAAAGTGATTTCCCAAGCATCTCAATAGGAAGACCCCTTAAATTGAATGCCTATCGCAGTCACTTTAGGGTTATTGCTGTTGTCTTGGCTAACGAAAGTGATAGTAGTGATGTGCCTTTTGGCTGAGGCTTATCTGGTCTTCTGTGACTGAAATGTGTGTGTGCGTCTCTCCTCTCTAGGATCCGGCTTACTGGGTGCAAGTGCATCGCTTGGAGCATGGTGATGGTGGAATTCTGGATCTGGATGACATTCTCTGCGATGTTGCTGATGATAAAGACAGAGTGAGTACCAGCATATTTGCTTTGGTTTTACTTATGAAGCCACGTCAGCAGTATTTTTATGGGTGGGGGCTGCTTCTCCCTCCCACAGCCTTGATGATGGAGCAAATGGTAATAAATAATTTCTGGTGGTCAGTGATGCTGCAATAATAGGGAACAAAGTGACTATAATAGCAAAATGAATGAAAGGGGAGGTTTGAAACACTTCTTCATACCAAGGATGGTTGGAATGTAGGATTCCTGGCTGCAAAAAGTAGTTGAAGCTGTTTTATGCATTCTTTTAAAAAGCATTGGATACAGAGGAATATTAAAAGCTATGGGAAGCAAGCAGAGAGAAGGAGGATTAGATCACGTGACTTGTTGTGGAGGAAAATACATGTGCAGACTTGATGGGCAGAATAGTCAGCTAATGAGCTGTAAGATTCCATGATTCCACTCGGAAAAATTCCGTTCAGCTTTGTGCACGTTGCCTTTTGTGATGATGGCGTTTAATGGGATTTCCCATTGTAGATCCATTCCCACGTCTTTGTTTATTCCATGCTAGGTGAAGGTTCCTGATACTATGTACGAGTGACTCTTGCTGGTGCAGACCAGCAAGATCCCAGGTTAAAAATCCGGACTTTCTTCCAAATTAGCAAATCCCAACAAAGAAGGTGGTTGGGGAAGTTCATTGAGCTTTACAGTCCCTGAGTTTGGGAAAGGGAAAGATCAACCAGAACCCCACCTCCAGACCACTACCAAGTGCTTGCAAGAAGTGTGTTATTATTGTGGGCCCTTTTTCTTACTGATTTATAATGGGAAGTTCATAATTATTTTGGTGGTATCTTTGCAGTGTTGAAATATGGGTGGAAAACGCTCTGCACCTTCAGAAACCCAAACATTATTAGCATAAATAAGGGAAGGGTTGGGACTTGTGGGCGTTTAACCACAGGATGGACTGGTCGGGTCAAATGACTTGTTTCTATGCTGCAGCTAGCTCATTACTTAGACTGTGAGTTTGAACTTCTGGTAAAGGCTAGTTGTCATGTACAGGTTCATGTAGGTCTAAGTTTTCTTATCGTGTTTGTGGTGAAAGTAGAAGTAGACAGCTGAAGGACGACCATAATGTGTGGGTGGGGGGAAAGACGAGAACAGTGGACTTTTCTGAATGCACTGGGCTTGGTTGATAATTTCAGTGTCTCACACAGCATTCTATTACATTGTCGCCACTTTCAATATGTTGGAAATAACGACTTTTGGACTTCGTGCAAAGTTACTATGATGTCTCCTCTTCAGCCCCCATCAAGATAATCTGAAATTTAAGCTCTTGTCTAAAGTGAGTTTTTTATGTTCAGGAATATTTTATTCCTAGTATCAAAATGTTATCACAGGAGTGGATTTTCAGTGTGGAGCATCTTGAGTACAGCTCAATTCCTCGCTATCAACAGGCAAATGAAAAAGCCTTGCATTGCCGATGTGAAAGTGAATGGTTATTTTATTAAATTGCTCTTTGTCCCCATTAACCCTTCAAGTACTGATTTTTCTTTTTCCCCTTCTCCTAGCCATCACCTTTTTCAAAGTGGGCACATTAATAGAATAAACCTACAAAAAAAAAAGTTGTGGGACATTATGCAGGGATTACAGTGGATGTGAAAAGCTGGTTCTTAATTTGTTTCTTATGGCTAGAGGCTTAAAGGGAATATGGGCTGTGGGAGTGGGATTGAATGTATGCCTTTCGCTGAAAGCCAGTGCAAGCTCGATGGACCAAATGACCTCCTTCTGTGCTGTACATTTCCAGGATTCTAACCATCTTTCCCCCTGAAACATTCATGGATTTTGAGCTCTGAAGATGTTTTCATTTATTTTTGTATGCATTTGTCTAAGTATTCCAAGTTGTGGGTCTTTTTATGATCATTGATAGCAATCCTTCAGCATATAGAAGGTCTCTTTGTGTTTATAAAGTAAATAAACTAGGATCTAAAAGATCAGATTTTAATATAAGTTCACTTTCCTGGTGTGACTTATCAGCTGTTACCCCCATGTTAACAATGTTGAAATGTTTAAGCATGATTAGTGATGCATTGATATGAAATCCAGTTTGTAATCTATCTGATCTGTGCGCGTCTGAAGCCCAAAAGGAAGGGTGTGTCATATATCTATATATATATATATATATATTCCATAGAGTCATCTGGATGGCAGTCCATGTGATTTTAGCTGAGTACACTCCAGCAGCACCCAAATGTATGCTGTATTTTACCTACAAATACACAGTCATTGCACTTCAGAATAAAATCCTGTGAAGCTCGTTGAAATGTCTTGATGAAGTAATAAGGTTCTACGTCAGGGGCATGGATTATTATTTTAGTATATTAACCAGCATTCTGGTTCATCTAGTTTTTTTCCCATCCTGGCTTTATTGATTTATATCTGGAGCATTGTCAAGACAAGTTTACATAGAGAACGCAAACAATGATAAATTTTCCAAAGCCTCATCTCTATCTGTTCCCCCGGTGCACCTTGTTCGTTGTCGATGCTCTTTTTGTCATGGTTTGTCTCTCACTCTCAGGGCTGCAATGCAGTTGTATGGTTTTGATTTCCCATAGATCAGTGCATGTTGTTAGGACGTGGGTAATAATATCTGATTGCGAATATCTACCTTAAAAGATTTGGCCTTTTGTTTTACTCCAACTGACCTGAAACAGTTGCAGTAGAATGGGATTGTTTGAGGGAAACCCCACAACAACAACAACAACAACAAGATTCCATTTATAAAGCCCCTTTCACGTCGGGAGGACGTCCCAAAGCGCTGACGTCCCACCTTCCAGTGTTTAGAGTGCAGCGCAAAAGCCCATTAAAAATGCAAGACCTGTGGAACTGTGTTGAAACAGCTCCTTTCTTTAGGACATTTTGAATTGATTTAGCTGTCTTTTCTTAAACAAAACATCTTGTAAGTGCTTGAGTGCTTTGCCAGTATTCCATGGAGCTTAGGCATATTAGAGTATATCATACCTTTCACTAAATGATGTGTCACATACATAAATTGTTCTGGAGGTAGATAGTGATTCCTGTTCATGAGGGAATCGTATTTATTGTGTTCTTGTTTGAAATTCATAAAACCTAAGAAATGGCAGGTCACACCAAGTCAGGGTTGTGGGCAGCTCCTCTGAACACGCTGTACAGTGGAACAATAGGATAGGTGCTCAACAACAACAACTTACATTTGTAAAGTGCCTTTCACGTCAGGAGGACGATCCAAAGGTCTGGAAGGCCAGAGGTTCTTAGAATTTGTTTTAGTTTTAGTTTTGTGCATTATGCGCCCTAACCTTACCTGTTTCGAAAGACAGCCTGAAATTGTGCAATATTATTCAAAACAACGTGGAGATGACGTTCAACCCAGTGTGTGTCTATTATGTGGATCATGTGTGTCCTTTGTTTGAAATGTTAACTTGCCGGTGTAATTAAATTGTCTTGTCTCATCTAATTTGAAAGCCTTAGAATCGGGAGTGTCCCCAGTCATATTCAGTGACTGCTGCTGTTGTTGCTGGCTGGCCCCAGAGACCACTCTCCTGCTAATCTGAGTTTGTCCCTTTGGCAGGTTTCAAACACACCCAGCAATCTCTTTTTTGCCTGAAAGGTTATCAATAAGTAAAATTGACTTAATAGCCTCTGACCGTTTCTGACCCGAAGTGATTGATCTTCAGTTTTCTATTAAATGGTCAAAAGTAGAGGCAGTTAGTGGGGAGCTAGGGGGAGGGAAGAGTCACTATGGTGTGTTTGTTTTACAATAATATGGATTGAGTGGTATTAAATGTGTGGTTCAGTCATGACATCTCGTATGAAGTATCTCAATCTCTCTCCTTCACCCTCCCGCACCCCTCCCCCAGCGCAGCAATCTTGAATTCTGAGTGCTTTTGCTTTACTCTTCATACTGTTATGGAATTACATCAGCCAGCTGGTGTCTGTTAGGGAATTACTGGGGAGTGCTTTGTGCTTCTCATTCCCACACTGTACTCAACAATACAACACAATTTTTGATTCCTTTTATACTGTTAATTATTCTGAAAATAAAATCCGATTTTTTCTTTGCTGATCAAACAGCTTTTCCGTTCATCATCATGTTTGCCAGCAATTCAGCCTCTCTAAATCTGCCAATATTGGACAAGATCTGTTTACTAATGAGGAAAACAAGATGGAACAGTATTTTTAAGCAAAAAAAAATTCACTTTTGATATTCACACATTTTTACAGTATATCCTGTGAAGCACTTTGAGACATCTCAATAACAACAACTTGCATTTATATCACGCCCTTCACTCGGGGTAGCATCCAGAGCTCTTTAATTATAATCCTTGCATTTGACGTGATGAGGCGCTATATCAAATGCAAGAATTATTATTATTACAAATAATATTTGAATTATTTGATAAATGGCCCAGAAGGACTTTTCTTTCTTCTCTTGCCCCCAGTTTCTGTCTCCTGAATGATGGTGATGAAGTGCTACTGTATTGCAGGGAGTGGTTCATCCCATTGAGCCTTTGCTGGGCTGTCTCTTGCACAGCAACTAATATCCTTCTGTCGAACGAGAAGTTAAACCAAGGTCCTATGAGTGCAGGTTCAGATGTTTATTCAGCCGTCATCACCCCTCTCTTGAAAAAGCCTTCCCTGGAGCCAGCCCTACTCTCCAGCTGCCGCCCCATCTCTAACCTCCATTCCTCTCCAAGGTCCTGGAACGAGTCATTGCGTCCCAGCTCCGCTCCTTTCTTTCTTGCCATTCCCTCTTTGAACCCCTCTAATCCGGCTTCTGAGCTGCCCATAGCACGGAAACAGCCCTGATCAAAGTCACTAATGACATTCTGAACATCTGTGATCAGGGCTCCCTCTGCCTCCTTGTCCTCCTCGACCGCTCTGCCGCCTTCGACTCTGTCGACCACTCCATCCTCATACACCACCTCTCCGCTTTACTCAATCTTCACGGATCTGCCCTTGCCTGGTTCGATTCCTATCTCTCTCACCGTCTCTAC